GGAAATCACTCAGTTCAACCTCCCATCCAGGAAAGGGAACGTCCCTCTCTCCTGCCACTGACAATGGTCCACAGCAGCCTGTTTGATATCCATAAATGGCAGGGACTCACTATCTCCAAGGGAGCCTCTTCCATTAAGGAATGGCTCTTATGAAAACAAGGTTTGTTGCTGAGTCAAAATCAATTTCCTTGTAACCTCACCCATTAAGACTATTCTGCCATCTGCAGCATTTCAAGTCCGCTCTCAAGTCAGCCTTCCCCACACTGCAGAGAGCTGCTATGACTCCTTTCTCCTCTTCTCTGGTTAGACCCTCTCAATCCTTCATTTGCTCTGCTTAAAGGTCTGTATTTTTAGACATTTTACCACCTTTTTCTGGGAGTGGCCCAGTTGGTCAATATTCTCTTAAAAAATGGTGCCTAGGCTGTGTGCGGTGGCTCACGCCTGTAATCCCAGCACTTTGGGAGGCCGAGGCAGGTGGATCACAAGGTCAGGAGTTCGAGACCAGCCTGGCCAATATGGTGAAACCCCGTTTCTACTAAAAGTACAAAAATTAGCCGGGTGTGGCGACATGTGCCTGTAATCCCAGCCACTTGGGAGGCTGAAGTGGGAGAATTGCTAAACCCAGGGAGGCGGAGGTTGCAGTGAGCCGAAATCGTACCACTGCATTCCAGCCTGGGTGACAGAGTGCGGCTCGGTCTCAAAAAAAAAAAAAAAATTGGTGCCTAGTACATACCCCCTAAAATTGAAAGCAGGGTCTTGAATAGATACTTATACACCCATACCCATGGTCAGAACAGCATTATTCACAATAGCCAAAAGGTAGAAGCAACTCTGGTGTCCATCAATGGATGAATGAATGAATAAGCAAAATATGGTCTAAAAATACACTAGAATGTTATTTAGCCTCAACAAGGAATTCTGACATATGCTACAACATGGATGAACCTTGACGACACTGTGCTAAGTGAAATAAGCTAGTCATAAATGGACAAATACCATATGATTCCACTTATGAGGTACCTAGGGTAGTCAAATTCATAGAGACAGGCCTGGTGGGCATCTTGCACCTCAGGTAGCCCTTCTAGGTGAAGCCAGGTGGAGATCTAAACACCTTTCAACTGAAGCGTCTGGCTCTGCAGCCTCTTTCCTGAGAGCTGTGTGGGGCAAAAGGCACAGAATTAAAACAGGGTCAGACACACAGGGAACCTAAGGAGGGTGCACTTTGGAGATCACACTAGCCTTTTCAGCACCATTTTGCTTTCTTTTT